TTGACTTGATGTTAACTGCTTGTGTATTTTACAAGCCAGCCTCATGGCTGATTGTTGTGCTGTGCCGGTTTATTGACTTGATGTTAACTGCTTGTGTATTTTACAAGCCAGCCTCATGGCTGATTGTTGTGCTGTGCCGGTTTATTGACTTGATGTTAACTGCTTGTGTATTTTACAAGCCAGCCTCATGGCTGATTGTTGTGTTATCGATTAGCGATCGTACGGCATGTTAATTGCACATGGTTCCAGATACGCACAATCAAGATCGTTTAATTGCTTAATTGTTTCCGATCGTTATTCCTTTACCTTCTCCGTTTCATGCTCTTGGTTGAACACGTAGAGTAGTTACCGTGATCTGCTATGTACCGACATTGTTCATTTCTTGGGTCATTTCTCTTAGCTAGCTCATTTTGTGTATAGAATCTACATTTATGTTAGTACAAGATCTCACTGCACCTCTACTACTAGGCTAATGTTCTAGAGTAGAATGATAATGATCTTATGCTCGTGATGTTACAGCCCACTCCACTCTCTACCCCTCCCTTTCGTTCACTAGAAAAGTTCCACCATCAGTTTGCTACTCAACCACCTCTTTGATAGCTCAGATATTGTCACAACCCTAGAAATGTACAACTAACAGCTGTTTTCCATGATAACTCGTGTAAGAACACTCTCTCTGTAACGTATGAACTGCGACTGCATGGAGGCATCCTCTGTGGCAAAAATGGGCGCCGCCGGTCATACGCCGCCGCCGCCGTGAAATAACCCACGCTGCCGCCGCCCACGGCGTCGCCCATGTCTGCTTTGTGGGCTCCTTAAAAAACCAGTGTATATGGGGCTTATTTCTTCCTTTAGATTATGTGATAATTGTGTTGTATCGAGAAGAGTCCGGTATATAATTAGTTGGCAGCCAAGTTGTGACGAGTGTTTTGACACATGGTTATTACTATATTAGACTGCATGATAGGATTACATCACGTTAAACATATTACATAATTGTAATTTGTAGAGCAGCGGATATCTCATGATTTGTATCATGGACCTGTCTTACCAAGCTGTGGAGCTGCTGTACTTACACAATTTTAATATTGCTATTTTACAATCATGAAAGATTGTGCTCATACCCAAAATATGTTGCAGAAAGCCCACTCAACAGTGTAACATGGCCGCCGCGCCGGCCATCGATTTCCCCCAAAACAAGGTTATTTTGCTTTGGTTAGTTGAGACGCTGCCTGTTTCGTTGAATGGTTATAATATGGACAGTTTGACACATTTTGACAGAATATAAGTATCATGTCACGTGAACAAGTTGTCTTATCTTTGGTAAAGATAAGTCTTTCTTGGAAATTTGATAGCGGAAGTTAACGCAGTCCAAATTGTTTTAAATTCGTCGGCCGGTTTGGTCGAAAAAGTATCGGTGACCAACTAGAACTGTCAGTGCTACTGATAAATTGCTCGAACATTTGATTAAACGAACTCTTCCTCTTGAGGTACCGAAGTCGAACAATAAAAGTTCAACTCAGATGATCAGATCTAAAAAAGTGCAAACTAAAACAAGAAGGTTTTTACTGTACAACTGTAGACTTGAGTAGTTCAAGTTTTGCTATGGTTTGCGTTTTTGCGACTCTCATGAAATTACAAGATTAAACACCAAAGGCCGTCACAGGGACGTAGCCAGGATTTTTCTTTGAGGGGGGCTGTCGGCGAGCGAAGCGAGCCGACGCGTCCAATCAAGCTGCGCAGCGAGCGAAGCGAGCAAGCTGTGGCAGGGGTCTGGGGGCGCAGCCCCCAGCGGGGTCCAGGGGCGGAGCCCCTTGGCGGGGGCTAGAGGGGCGCAGCCCCCCGGAAATTTTTTGCGAAACAGGGTGTTTTAGACGACATTTGGCATTAAAGAAATTTGTAGGACAGCAATAAACTGGGATTGAAAAGAATCAAGTACTCACGTAAATTTGGTAACTTCACAACAGCAATCTGCATTCTCCAATCAGAATTTACGACTTACTCAGGCCTCATCGTCTTAAGATTTTTACATTTCCCTACGGTCTAGGGGACACTATTGACTATAATTATAGAAGTCTTCTAGAATGTTTGCTTGGATTTAATGACATATATTTACTAATCCACAGTTCAAATCTTTGACTGACTGCAGTCATAAACACAGCCCAGTTACCAGGCGACCATGGCTGCCGCCCCCCTAGCCCCCCCCCCCCCCTGGCTACGTGCCTGGGCCGTCACTCCCTTGCCAACTTGTCTGCTGAGCAGAAAAGTTTAAAGAGGCGCTGCATTCCATTTACTGTCTGATGAGAGCCTTTTACTTGCTTTGCTTGCTCTCTCTCAGCCACCCAGCACCTCCCCTATTATATAACTTGGTGTGAGTGGTGTTGTATAATACAGGCTCAGTTGCTATTTACCTCTCTTTGTCATACTAATTCTCAAGTGAATAAATTCAGCGTTGTAATATTCAGTGGTTACACATGTCACTGTTGTGTCTTTCTGTAGTTACAGTTGTCACTGTTGTGTCTTTCTGTAGTTACAGTTGTCACTGTTGTGTCTTTCTGTAGTTACAGTTGTCACTGTTGTGTCTTTCTGTAGTTACAGTTGTCACTGTTGTGTCTTTCTGTAGTTACAGTTGTCACTGTTGTGTCTTTCTGTAGTTACAGTTGTCACTGTTGTGTCTTTCTGTAGTTACAGTTGTCACTGTTGTGTCTTTCTGTAGTTACAGTTGTCACTGTTGTGTCTTTCTGTAGTTACAGTTGTCACTGTTGTGTCTTTCTGTAGTTACAGTTGTCACTGTTGTGTCTTTCTGTAGTTACAGTTGTCACTGTTGTGTCTTTCTGTAGTTACAGTTGTCACTGTTGTGTCTTTCTGTAGTTACAGTTGTCACTGTTGTGTCTTTCTGTAGTTACAGTTGTCACTGTTGTGTCTTTCTGTAGTTACAGGTGTTTACTGAACTTTAACATGGTGTTTTCATTAGAGCTGTCGCATTTTAATTCTCCTGTGGCTTGAAGCTGTCAACACGTTATACGTTACTACGTGATATAGTATTACTACTAGGTAGCTAAGTTAGCAGTTCACAGCCCTCCTTAAATCTCGCGTTATATATAGTTTATACGTCTCTCTATATAATATATTATAGTCAGCAGTCAGGTAGTGCTATTCTAATAGTCACTCTATATAATATATTATAGTCAGCAGTCAGGTAGTGCTATTCTAATAGTCACTCTATATAATATATTATAGTCAGCAGTCAGGTAGTGCTAAATTTCTAATAGTCACTCTATATAATATATTATAGTCAGCAGTCAGGTAGTGCTATTCTAGTAGTCACTCTATATAATATATTATAGTCAGCAGTCAGGTAGTGCTATTCTAATAGTCACTCTATATAATATATTATAGTCAGCAGTCAGGTAGTGCTATTCTAATAGTCACTCTATATAATATATTATAGTCAGCAGTCAGGTAGTGCTATTTTAATAGTCACTCTATATAATACATATAGTCAGCAGTCAGGTAGTGCTATTCTAAACGAGAAAGGGACGAGAGAGTAGGTAACAAAAAGAAAGTGGAAATTAAAATTTCGAATCAAGTCCATAGTAAGAAGCGTAAGATGTTCTTGAAAAATGATCTTGGAAACTGTGCCCTTCTCTCTCTCTCTCTGTTCTGTGCCCTTAATCTAGGTAGTACCCCCTACTTAATCAGTTAAAATACAAAGACTAGACTCTCTAGAAACATCAGTAAGAGTAAAATATTGAAATTGTGAACTGTGAATAGATAAGGGTACAATATATCTGAGGACTCTCTCAGATTGTTGAACAGATGCGTGATTGGGACTGTATCTGAAGATCAAATAACGGATCTAGCTAAGTCTCACCACATCAGGTGGCCTAATTGAAGGAGGCGTCAAATGAGTTTTTGCAAAGCTCGTCCTATTTGTCCCCTTGAAATCAGTCTACTTTCAGATTGACATTGGACATGTTGTGTTAAGTTCCGCTTAGTTTTACTATTTCCTTTCCATCCAATTCATATGTTTAGTTAATGTTATGCACAGTAGTTTTCCCTTTGATTTATCAAATAAACAGTATATTGTCGTCTCCTCAAACCTTTCAGGCTTTTACTCACTGTACGTCGCGTAGGTACTAGACTCCATTGAAAATCGCTTACGCAATACAATTACACATAAGCGCTGACCTTTGGCCGGCGATAATTTCGGCTAGGAACAATATTTTTCCATGGGACCAAATGCAGCTGATAGATATGACTCCGACCTCCGTCCCCGCGCCCCCACCCCCGCCCCCCGCCCCCTTGAACAGACTTCTAAAGCTTTCCAACCTCTCATTTATCCGCAATTATTGTTTAAAATTCTGAGATAATACGATTTTACATTTTGAGTCGTTGTGAAGTGTAAACCCCTAATAAAAACAAACTTGTGTTTTTAAAAGGATATAATAGCTGCGTAGTCATGGCAACCAGCCCACCTCCACTGTGTCGAGACATTTCAGCCATGTCGCTGACGGAGTTCAAAGATGCTTTCGAGCAGGTAGCAATTTTTAGGTAGAAAATACCGTAGCAATTGTTAGGTAGCAAATATTGTAGCAATTGTTTGGTAGCAAATAATGAAGCAATTCTTCTCATATTCAGAAAAATTATCAAGTTTCCTAATTTGACATTGCTGTGGTTTTAAGCTAACAAATGATTTAATAACTGCTTGAGTTGTAATGATAGGGGTGGGCACCAGCCCCTAGTAATGAGAGTACAAATCAGGCAGGCTACAATCCAAAACTAGAAACACGCGTGTCTGACAAGGCTGACACCGATAAAAATGTCGTGAAATACGAGAGAAAAGTTGGTGTCGTTACAAAAACTAAGACTGAGTTGGACGTATTCAATGACAAAATGATCATCCTACCTACTGTACTTTGTCGGATAAACTTAATTTGCGAACATTAAATCGAATTTCGGCCCCTATTGAGCAGGGTCTAGTTATGGATGAAGTAACTGAGTTAGGATTTAGAATGTTGACAGTCGTTGAGGTAACAAGGTATTGGGTTCCTTGAGCTAATTAGTGGCGCATAGTGCGTTGGGGCAGTTTCTTTTGCTCCGTTGTAGTAAAGTTGTTCCCTGTTTGTATAGTACTGTAATAAGGTACCTGCTGTCTGATTTAAGTGAAAATGTCTGGTGATGAGCAAACTGTTCTCAGTAGGACCAAGTCCTTTACTGTCCGTGAGATATTTGACCAAGTAAGAGTTGTACATACACGCAAACGTACACACAAACATACATACATACAGACATACATACATACACAAATTATTGAGGGAGATTAGAGATGTGATCAGAGATAAGGATTTGTTATATCCCGGAAATGTACTTAGATTCTGGCAGTCTGACCAGTACAGAACATTGATTAAGTTATTAATATCAATATTAAGTTATTAATTTCAATATTTCAATATGGTCGGCTGACTGAAAGCTTATGGAATATCAGTATATATCAGTAAATTCATGATTCTCATTTCAGTTCGACACCTCGAGCAAAGGTTCGATCACCACCAACAGTCTGGGTGATGCTTTGGCAGCTTGTGGAGCTAAGGTTCCTGGTTTCAAGGTCAGGGACATCTGTGATAGCTACAAAGATGGCGCCATCAGCTTCGATGAGTTCTGCAAGGTCAGTTATTGAGTTATTTTCTTGTTTTATTTGATTTTGTTATATTTTTGTTTAATATTGTCCTTACAACATTTGTTGTTAAATGTGTTCAGTATTCGTCGTTGAAGCAAATTTCAAAACTGGTCGATTTATTTAGATTCTGAACCAAGTGAAATCGAAAAACACATTCAAAGAGACAATCAAACCGATTGAGCTGAAGAAGAAGGTTAACGTCAACAAGGGATCAGAGAAATCGTCTGAGTGGACTACTCACTCTTACGCAGAAGAGGTAATAATTACACGAATCTTATCTTAACTAGCAAATTATGAAATTTTTCTGATTGCAAAACCGTGCGAAGTATCATTTCTTAACAGATAATTTATATTATGATTGATTGATCATAATGATCGAATAGTTTCCTAATCCCTAATTATAAATATCGATTAAAGCTTGTGATTAAAGCTTATTTGTATGTCAATTTCAGCCTCATGCTTCAGACCATACGGCCAGACAATCAGTAAATAGCTTTTGAGTTAATCCTAGAGAGGATTTGAGCTTTTCACTCTTTCGTTGAATTCTTCTACTTAATCTAGCTCTTCATATAAACTCCATAATTGCAATGCAATATTGGTTTATCTTTAGCTTTGCATGGCTATACGTGACTGCGTTACTCTGCTTTTAGAGGTGCTCGGATGTGTGCGATTTATAATAGTTTGATCTTTACACAGCACTGCTACAGGTTTACCATTTTTGACTGTGACGTCTCTGCAAATTTCTCCATTGTCCACCACAATTACCTTACGTTTAAATAATAGAAGCAAGTCTCTCGACTGAAATCCTTTCCATCTGGTTTACTTTAAATCTACTTAATTTAGTAGAGGTTGAATATTTTATTTATTATATTGGTAATGAAAACCATTACCAAGTTTGAAATAACTCTTCACCAGGAAAAACTGGCCTTTGTTGACTGGATCAACTTCCGTTTGAGCAAAGACGAACTCCTACTGAAGCATGGCAATATCCCCATTGCAGAAGATGGTACCGCTCTCTTTGCAGCTCTTAGGGATGGTATCATCTTGAAGTAAGTGGAATGTGGAGATCAGGATTCAGGGGGCATTTGCCTCTAAATGTTTGGATAATTTTGTTTTCAATCATTTGAGGTGATATAAAACTATGTAGTTTAAACAAATTTTGTGATGCGCTTGCGGTCACTTATCACCTTGAAAACAGTAAGAAGACATTAAGAACTCATATCAACTATCGTTTAAAAGATAAATATAGAACAGTCGCATAATGAATATTATATCTGTCAAGCAAATATGTTTGGCGGAATTCAATTGACATTCTACAGGCAAGTTAAACGTTCAGAACAATAATGCTTTTGACACAACATGTCATGTTATGACGGGCGCTACACAGTCCCTCAATTCAAACTATTGTGTTTCATACCTCCTCACCCCAGCAACTATTTAACCTCACATTTACCTCAGCAAGCTGGTAAACGACTCAGTGGAGGATACAGTTGACGAGAGAGCTCTGAATCTGCCTAATGATGCTGGAAAGTTATCCATTTTCAAGATTCAGGAGAATCAGACTCTTGCCCTCAACTCTTGCGTCGCTATCGGTTGCAACGTGGTCAACATTGGTGCGCAGGATCTCATCGAGGGTAAAGCTCATCTCTGTCTTGGTCTGTTGTGGCAGGTTGGTTATTCGGTCTTCTTAATTAATTATACTGTGTCACGGTTATTTAGTTTAAAAATGAGTCTGGAACCCTCTAAAATAGCTCAACATTTTTCCGCACGGTTAAATTAAATTACACTTTTACTCGATATCGCTTGCCGCACGCTAGTTATTTTCTCTAAGATATGACAAGTATCCTGAAAATTTGTATTGAGTACATGGATAGAGACGTAGGATTGATCAATACAGTTGATACAGTGCTGTGTTGCATTATTTAAAGCTTGGTTTTATGATGCTTTGTTTAAGTATATCATATTATGAACCCAGCAACGGAATTCCCAGAAAGTTTGAGGTACATGTTTATTACCATTGTTTCATTTTTTGAATTTAACGTTTTAAAACTACGTGAAGTTTGCCTAATGTTTAATCGTTTGTAAACTTCACGATCGAAAAATCACGTTGATTTAAACATTGGTGTTGGTCAGGTTATCAGGATTGGACTGATGGCTAAGATCACCCTCAAAGACTGCCCCGGTCTCCGAGCTCTTCTGGACGAGTTCGAAACTCTCGGTTAGTTCACACTCATTATAATGTAACATTTTAGTTGGTTCATGTAAAGTATAAATGTGATTTGTTATTTTAAAAATAACAAATCACATTTTTACTTTACTTGAGTCATGTGTTAATGTATTTACTACAATAACAAATCACATTTATACTTTACTTGAGTCATGTGTTAATGTATTTACTACCATTTCTTATAATATGGTGGAAAATAGACAGAAACACTGAACTACCGACTTTGCTTAAAGTCACGTCCGTCTTGCGTGACTTTGAAAATAGAATATACTACTAGGTATATAATATAGAATATAGGTGTGGCATTAACTTGAGCCGTTTTTCAACATAACATTGTTTGAGTATTAACTCTTAACCATCTGTTACATTAGATCAAGTAGCCCAACTCTGCTACCTACTGTCCACTTCATTATCTATCATATTATTATGATTGACATGTTCAAAATAATGCTACTGAAATCTGCAATGGACCTTGATTAATTCGACTCATTTATTTGGTATGAAGGCCATGTATGGCACATGTGGTGCCGAGCAGTCCATTACGTCATAGGCTCCAGTTAATAGATTACTAAAGATGAATGCTCTGTACATTAATACACCTGTACCTGTGTAAGTGTGTAACACTGTACTTATTGTAATATATTACATATGTAGCGGATCAAGTTACAATAGTAATTACCACCATTATTCCTAGTGTCTTTATTCACTCGAGAGCAAATTCTGATAACGTCACTTCATGAATCTAAACTGATTAATATCATCAATACTTATTGTAGATAACAAAACTTTAATCTGTTCAAACTCGAAATTGCTCTGATTCCTGTCTTCACGCTACTGCACGATTATATGAATTTACTTTGTAGTTTTGTTAATTCAAATTAAATTGTATGTACACAAAACTTACTACCATAATAGTTGAACCGTAAAGATTTTTATTCTTTTATAAAAAAAACAAGCGAGTACCTATGCACAAAAAGTACAGAATTTATGCCCCGAGTTACTCTAACACTCACCATTTACTTTTTACAGCAGAGTGTGTTGGTTTTGGTTTTGGTTTAGGGAGCAAACTTACCACATAGGTCCAGGATCGAAATCAACGTATACAGGGTGGCCCAGAGTAAATGTCCACCTTGTATACCGTATTGGAACGTATACAGGGTGGCATAGAGTAAATGTCCACCCTGTATACCGTATTGGAACGTATACAGGGTGGCATAGAGTAAATGTCCACCCTGTATAATACCGTATTGGAGTTACGATACTTAGAAGATTAGTATGGCTACAGCGTTTTAGTAATGATAGTTAATTTACAATACAAAATACAGAACTTACAATCATAATAGTTGAACGGTAAAGATTTTTCTTCTATAAAAAAGAAACGAGTGTACACAAAAAATTACAGAATTTATGGCCCAGAGTTAGTGTTAACACTCACCATTTACTTTTGTCACAGTGTACATTAGTAATGGTAGTTAATTTACAATCCATTATATAGTACATACCAATAACCTGTACTATAGGTTATTGTCTCCGTTACACAGCTTGACTTGACCACATGGGGCAGCTACAGTCAACTCTATCACAGCCATATTAGCCAACACTTCTCATTACTGATTATCTAGATCTATATTTTCATTAGTTATAACTTAGCTTTTCCAAGAGCTCGAAGTGATCGTCCATAACAATCTCACGTATGTTAAAAATTAGCTGGCAAACCTACACTACCTATACTACTGCACTAACTATACTACTACACTACTTGTTGTGTTTACCTACACGACGTGTATATGTGAGGAAACTTAAGGCCTGAGCCAAGGGGGGGGGGGGGGGGGGGGGTAAATTATAATTTTTCCAGTTTTTCTTTTAAAAAGCGAATCTGAGGTAAAGTTAACCTCATATGTCAAGAACAGAGGCAAATATCAAAATTCTGTACAATAGAATTGTGTGAAACAGTCTAAGGAACACCTGTGCCAAGTTTCAGGTCCTGGGTGCAGGTGTGGCCAGTCTTTTCCAAAAGTTAAGCTCTAACTAAAGTTAAGCTCTAACTAAAAAAGATATTAAGAGTTAAAGTTTTACATGTTATTACAGGTAAACCTCAAATTTTGGCGCGCAATATCTCAGCAACGCAAGGTCAGGTTTTTATGCGTTTTTTTTTCTACTTGTTCATCTCCAGCAGCTCTGATCAAATATGTGAAAACTGCAAAAACGATTTTTACCCCCCCCCCCCCCCCCTCTGGCCTTAACCACTAAAGTTACGCTACACTGATCTTGTAACTCTCGTGGTTAACCCACACAGCTTTATCATAATTAATGTTATACAGTTTATGCAGTATGTACAATAAGTGTGCAATCATGGTTTCCGCGTATGGCTGATTGCCAGGACGCATTGGTCAGGTCAATATACTATAGTCCCTGCTCCTTATAATATTACAATGATCGTATTACAGATAATATCACTGCACATTATAAACGTAGCAAAATGTTTCCTCGCAATGTAACTGAATTGTGCGGTGTTTATACATTCCAGAATGTACATACCAATGTACTCATAACATTGCCTCCCTGAATTTACTTACCAGCTGGCAGCTGCAGAAGGAAATTATTGACTGTTCGTTCCACTGCAATGTCCACTGTACACTGGTCGCTGAATAACAATGATCTAGAGTCTTGTCTGAAATAATAATTTATCGGTATCCACTAAATCCACTCCATTATTTCACGATTAGATGACGTCTTTAAACTGACTGATTCCAGATATAATCGTTATTGGCTAGTCTATACTTGCAGTGAGCGCGGTTTGACACAAACACGTAACTGCTTACTTTATGAAGGAGCACTTAGCTAGCAACTAGATGCTAGGTACGTTCTCATGTGGTAAGGAACCACGCCCTAATTCAAACCCTTGACACGTCCTGCACACGATCAACACTGCTTTTATTGGACATGTGACATCATGCTAAGCTACAAAGGAAGCTGGAGATACGTCAGAACTGGCAAATGATCTATATCTCCCTGTTAATGACTAAACTGCTGACTTTATGAAGGAGCACTGAGTTACTTACTAGCGTGTCAACTATTTAGGATATAACTAGTTTTTAAAGGATAAGTCAGGAGTGTAATGATTGTGTCAACTAGATTAGTATTATATATTATTATATATATACTACTAACTAGCTTTAAAGACAGTGAATATTTCGTTCCGTGGTGTGTTGGGTTTTATTGTTGCCAAATTTGGCGCTTACCTTACCTTGTATTATGTTGTTATTATACTGTCATGACAAAGTGACAACATCATCACACCACATCATCCCTCTTAGTTAAACTACGTTACTATTTTATAAATGTTTACTGTGGAAATGTTGCCTGCCAAAATACGACTAAAAAAACAGAATAGAATTACAATTTATTTGTGTATGTAATCTAACTGAAGTTAAGTTGTGGCAGTCTAACAAAATGAATAAAAACACGAACGACTAAAAAGTAAAAAGGTAAAAGCAGCCAAAATAAGAGACCTATCTAGACGTCTCAATATCCAATCAGATGCTCAGAACCACGCCACTGTCCAATCACAAAGCTGGTTCTAATTTGGTGATAAAACTACAATTTTGACCCGGATATTCCCGTCCCTCTAGTGGAAGAATGAACGATAGTGTAAACTGAAAATGACCTGGAAATAAGGCAAAAGTAAGGGTGAAGTAACTGGGTGTACTATATTTAGAGGTGATATTATATTTCACATTCTATTACACATCATATTTAATGAATCCTAACAAGACCCGTAAGATTGAATTATATTTTATGCTTTCATATATTCTAGACCTACATTGCAGCATGGACTTCTAACACGAGATGTAAACCGTGAACATTACAATTGAACATACTCATTTACTTGTCTCTCACTCTGTTGTGACTATTTATAATAGTGGGACTACTGTTTCTGAAACCCTCAACAGTCAATATAAAGTAGTTTTATAATCAATATAATGTAAAATTTCAGAACAGTTTCTGGCTCTGGGGCCTGAAGAGATTCTACGTCTTGGAAGTAAAATAAACGAGCTGTAAAATGCTAGTTGCTGGCTATGTAGTATAAGAAACGAGCTGTAGAATTTCAGAAGTTTATGGCTATATCCCCTGAAGAGATTCTTTGTTTTGGAAGTAAAATAAACGAGCTGTAAAATGCTAGTTGCTGGCTATGTAGTATAAGAAACGAGCTGTAGAATTTCAGAAGTTTATGGCTATATCCCCTGAAGAGATTCTTTGTTTTGGAAGTAAAATAAACGAGCTGTAAAATGCTAGTTGCTGGCTATGTAGTATAAGAAACGAGCTGTAGAATTTCAGAAGTTTATGGCTATATCCCCTGAAGAGATTCTTTGTTTTGGAAGTAAAATAAACGAGCTGTAAAATGCTAGTTGCTGGCTATGTAGTATAAGAAACGAGCTGTAGAATTTCAGAAGTTTATGGCTATATCCCCTGAAGAGATTCTTTGTTTTGGAAGTAAAATAAACGAGCTGTAAAATGCTAGTTGCTGGCTATGTAGTATAAGAAACGAGCTGTAGAATTTCAGAAGTTTATGGCTATATCCCCTGAAGAGATTCTTTGTTTTGGAAGTAAAATAAACGAGCTGTAAAATGCTAGTTGCTGGCTATGTAGTATAAGAAACGAGCTGTAGAATTTCAGAAGTTTATGGCTATATCCCCTGAAGAGATTCTTTGTTTTGGAAGTAAAATAAACGAGCTGTAAAATGCTAGTTGCTGGCTATGTAGTATAAGAAACGAGCTGTAGAATTTCAGAAGTTTATGGCTATATCCCCTGAAGAGATTCTTTGTTTTGGAAGTAAAATAAACGAGCTGTAAAATGCTAGTTGCTGGCTATGTAGTATAAGAAACGAGCTGTAGAATTTCAGAAGTTTATGGCTATATCCCCTGAAGAGATTCTTTGTTTTGGAAGTAAAATAAACGAGCTGTAAAATGCTAGTTGCTGGCTATGTAGTATAAGAAACGAGCTGTAGAATTTCAGAAGTTTATGGCTATATCCCCTGAAGAGATTCTTTGTTTTGGAAGTAAAATAAACGAGCTGTAAAATGCTAGTTGCTGGCTATGTAGTATAAGAAACGAGCTGTAGAATTTCAGAAGTTTATGGCTATATCCCCTGAAGAGATTCTTTGTTTTGGAAGTAAAATAAACGAGCTGTAAAATGCTAGTTGCTGGCTATGAAGTATAAGAAACGAGCTGTAGAATTTCAGAAGTTTATGGCTATATCCCCTGAAGAGATTCTTTGTTTTGGAAGTAAAATAAACGAGCTGTAAAATGCTAGTTGCTGGCTATGTAGTATAAGAAACGAGCTGTAGAATTTCAGAAGTTTATGGCTATATCCCCTGAAGAGATTCTTTGTTTTGGAAGTAAAATAAACGAGCTGTAAAATGCTAGTTGCTGGCTATGAAGTATAAGAAACGAGCTGTAGAATTTCAGAAGTTTATGGCTATATCCCCTGAAGAGATTCTTTGTTTTGGAAGTAAAATAAACGAGCTGTAAAATTCTAGTTGCTGGCTATGTAGTATAAGAAACGAGCTGTAGAATTTCAGAAGTTTATGGCTATATCCCCTGAAGAGATTCTTTGTTTTGGAAGTAAAATAAACGAGCTGTAAAATGCTAGTTGCTGGCTATGAAGTATAAGAAACGAGCTGTAGAATTTCAGAAGTTTATGGCTATATCCCCTGAAGAGATTCTTTGTTTTGGAAGTAAAATAAACGAGCTGTAAAATGCTAGTTGCTGGCTATGTAGTATAAGAAACGAGCTGTAGAATTTCAGAAGTTTATGGCTATATCCCCTGAAGAGATTCTTTGTTTTGGAAGTAAAATAAACGAGCTGTAAAATGCTAGTTGCTGGCTATGTAGTATAAGAAACGAGCTGTAGAATTTCAGAAGTTTATGGCTATATCCCCTGAAGAGATTCTTTGTTTTGGAAGTAAAATAAACGAGCTGTAAAATGCTAGTTGCTGGCTATGTAGTATAAGAAACGAGCTGTAGAATTTCAGAAGTTTATGGCTATATCCCCTGAAGAGATTCTTTGTTTTGGAAGTATTTTAAGGACGATATGTAAAATTTCAGAACAATTGCTTGCTATGTCCCCCGAAGAGAGACTGTGTTTTAGAGGTATTCTAAACGAGATATAAAATTTCAGAACAATTGCTGGCTATGTCCCCTGAAGAGATACTGTGCAGGTGGGTCAACTATCAACTCAACAAGGTCGGGTGTAAACGAGTCGTCAAGAACTTCACTCATGTAAGTTGAACATTTTATTCACGGTTACGTCACGAATTTGCAATGTTTATCTTGCTTGTTTTGAAACGTTATGAAAATAATCCAACTGTATTCTGTACAGCTATATACTGTATAGTGTATACAACTGATTATTGTTTATTTGGAGTGATTATAAAAACGCTTAGTTTGAGAGGTGTCATTTTGAAAAGTTAGCCTTGTAATTTACACTGTATTACAATCAGGAACTCTAAGTATAAAGCACTGTAGAATTATTGATAAAACCTCTAAATTACACATTACAGCTCACTGTACGAGATGAACCACACTTATCATACGTTACTCAAACCTTGACTTGAGTAAAATGTGAATATTTTACCTGATAATAATAATAATCATGTTAAGGAATTGTAATAGGATTAGTGTCAGTGAGTATAAGGTATGTTAGCTGTGGAGCGTGAACCGGTGAACGGTTACTGGTCGTGTCATAGCCAGACTAATGAATAACTGTCACACCTTCATAAGATTACAGATAAACTGTCATCTTTATTGAGATATTGACAAATGACAATACAAGCTGCTTAGCTAGACACAGATTTTCCATCCTGACTATTTATAAGGTAACAATTTGTAGTGTTATGTTACAAACTGTGGTTAAAATGATGTTAGTTTGATGTTAATCTTAACATTAATTGTTATTCTCTCACAGGATATCAAGGACAGTGAAGTATACGCTCATTTGCTGGTAGCTGTATGTCCTGATGACAACGCCAAGGGACCAATTGGACTGGAGCCTCTCAATGTAAGTAAAATTTGTAATTATTTTAAACTCAGACATAGATTTATTTAAGATTTAAATGGAGAAAACTGCCAAGTTAAAGTTAATTTTATACAGTAAAGAAGGGCTTGGTGATCGCTTGTTGTGCGTTGTATGTAAGACAGCTTAGGTTTCCTGAATACGTTTCCGTTAATTGGTGCACATACTTCAGCTCATACCTCAGCAGTGTGACGAAGTTATTATATTTACCATATTATACTAATGTCTTGCATAAATCATAATAATAGATTTAAAGTTATGTCATATCTTGTCGCCTTCTGTTGATTACTCCTATATTACCTGGACTGTTTATCCCAAAATGGAAACTTGACAAATGACCCTGAGAAGTTTACTCAATACCCAATATATCTATATTTATTTATCTATTTATAGTATTATGGTAAAAATCGAATTATAATCATTAGAGAAAATAAGAGGAATTATAACTGAACGTTACAAGTTAATCGCCTACTACATTACATTGAAGATCGTTACAATAATTAATTGGACAGATTACCAAATTATTCTCTCCCCGTTACTAAATGTTTCCGTTATAAAGTCCCCCACTAATGTCCCACTCTAAATGTGGATAGCTGACATGTAGTCGTATGAAATGATTGATAAAGGAGTATTTTTATTGAGGTTGCGTTAGACGGTTCGGGAGCTCTCAGGAATAAATCAAGAATTACATTAATTACGTGTCGAGTGTGCACAGTGGGGCACAGTTACACGGTTTATCTGTTATTGCTCTAATTTGACTGAGTCTTACACTTTCTACTAATTTTACAGTTTACCATGTGTAGGAGATTTAGACTAACGTCACTTGACAGTTAGATTAGAGCTACCCGAGTTGGGATACAAATTCTGATTGAACAATATATTTTACATATATAATTGTATAGCACGGTGATGTTAATATATATAATGCAACTTACATATAACATGTAATTTTACAGTGATGATGAAAAAGGATTTATAGTTAAATATATATCTTATTCCTTTATATCATGGCAGGTAAGATTGTGACAGTTTTAAATATGGCGGGTTGGTCCAAGAACTGCCAACTTTTAACCACCATAATATTAAGTATTAACTTCTTTTTTAATTATCGTTCATTATTCGCTCCATTATCAGAGTACACTGATCTCGTGGAAAATGGACGTAAGACATTAACTTGACCTTGTAATCTAAGACATGAACTTTTTTACTGCTTGAGACTCTAGTGACTCTATATACTTCTATAACTTTCTAATTTACCTTTATTTTCTACCAGCTCAATTGGAAAGTCTCAAGCACTGTGCACATTTTGCAATATTTATCAAACAATTGCCGTCTTAAAACAAGCAGAGGTAACAATAGATGTTTATTTCTGTGCTGATTGCCGGCCCTGAGAAATATAAATAATCTCGCTTTTCTACACGTGAGATTATAGTAGTGTGATTATAGTGCACTGATTGATGTGACAATATTGTGTCCAAGTGTGACCTGACTTCTTAATGAAGTAATGAAGAATGTGACCAGCGCGTGAGAAATGGCATTTGTATGAAATTTCATGGAAATTTGGTGTACGCTAGAGGTTAATTAAAAATTACTTGGCTGGTAATTTATATAATCTTACTTACTCGCTCTTTTCCACAAAACGATCAATAAGATCGGGAAACCTCTTTAATCTTACCTGCATTATATATACCTGCACTATCTTACCTGCATTTCAATCATATTTCCGTCTCTAATTAGTATCCTGATTTCTGCATATTTTATGGAAATAATAAACAGTTTCTAGTAATTTGTATGAAAGATAACTTTTGCAAACTTCTATTCATTTCAAGAGTAGAGAATATTTCAATCTTCAGATTAAGTTATAGATTTACAGTAAGAGTGACTAGACCTCTTGTATTAAAATACGGACTTTTCAATAAAAAATCCTTGAACTCAGAATCCATACTACTAGACGCGCCCCATTCTTTTCGTATATTATTCTAAAGGGATTTTAGATGATCCATCAATATAGCTAGCTATCTTAGCATAGTTTAATTTACTATCAATAATGAACTTAATTGTGCAGAAAAGCTCTCTCATATTATGAATTAAGTTTAAGATTATACAAAATACACCTATACGTAGTTCCAGTCTGAAATATTTCTGATTTAAAGTAAAATTAGCCATTACATCATGCTTGTGATGATAATATCTTGATACGCTATAAGTTGAATTAGTAAATAGTGAATAGTGAATACACAATGTGTATTCAGTATAACTTCATCTCACGACATCATATCACGTGATCTTCATACTTTTTAATTGGTCCGACTTACATCATTACTGTTTTACTGTACTAGGGATAAACAAGCATATCAATACTAGCTATTCACTTATAATCAAGCACATAAACAATTGGAGGAAAGTCCCATGTTACCAGGACATTACATTGAACAAACCAACGAACAAGAAAACAAACTAAAGTACTCTCTAACCTGGACAGTACTTAGATATCAAATAAAAATGTAACTCTTCTGTATCTCTATAAGATTGCACTGACACAGGTTCAAGATTTGACCAAGCGAGCTGAGATGGTGCTGGATAACGCGGAGATGCTTGACGCACGATCCTTCGTGCGCGCGCACGACATCGTCAACGGTAACCAGAAGCTCAACTTGGCGTTCGTTGCTAACTTGTTCAACATGTACCCTGCTATGGATGATGTAGGCGACTTTGAGATTATAGAGGAGACAAGGGAGGAGAAAAGTAAGTTTTATAATTTAATTATAATTGTCATATTTTAATTGATTGATATGTATAAGGTGAGAAATATAAATTATGAGATGTAATAACTCTGAATAGTACATGATTATTTGGACGAATTTGATACGGCGCTGGGAAAAGAGGGCCGAGAGGAGTTTGGTGAGAATAGTGCTCTTATTGTACTGTGTACCCTACTGTACTGTGTACCCTACTGTACTGTGTACCCTACTGTACTGTGTACCTACTGTACTGTGTACCCTCCTGTCATGTACCTACTGTGTACCCTACTGTACCTTATCATAGTGCCCTGTTATTCAGGATATCATGATTCTAAGCAAAATGTTTCTAGTTTTGTGAAAAGTGCTCATTAGATTTACACCTCGTATCTGAGAGAAACACTGTACGTTTTACATTTGTGAAATAATCTCTCAATAATAGTGACTGTTGCCATGGTTATCGTATCACACATTTGTTTTTTGTTGAGAAAAACTAGCACTTAAAATGCATGTACTGTTGTTCGGTGTTTTGCGTCCGTTCAGTGTTCATGTATTAAGTGGTATAACGTGTTACGACTTTACGAAAATTAACTTGTAAGAGTGTTAATTTAATTGAAGTTGCAAGTTTTGTGATTGGTGAAATTTTAACTCTTAAATTTTCATTTTTGGTAACTTTTTATGAAGTAACTTTTAATAAATAATATAGAAAATATCAGAATGCAACGTTGTTATGTTCAGCGGTATAAATTTCCTAATTTTAAAAGTTTTAACATTTAGATTTACGGTTATAACGGTAAGGATATGGTAATATTTTTCAATTTAATATTAATTTTTCGTCCCAACAATGTAATTTTAACAGTTTGATTAAAGGTAGTGCACTTTTAACATTCACTCTCTAGTAAGGAGACATCATATAATTATAATATTATATGATTCATATTAATTATGCAAGTGTTCAGGGTGCTTTTAAAAGAGGGTTTAAGAACACATTCCTGATGTGAACATTTACATCCAGCATGCTTAATATAAACATCCAGGAATAACTTACATTCAGAATTTTACGTCTAGGAGCGTATTCATAGCACATCCATGATCATGTTCACAGCACTTCAGAAATTGTGAACTGCATGATAATATCCTACAATTTTGAAATGCATTGTTATTTCGTCACAACTATAGCTCTAACAGGGATGTAGAAATTACAAATGTTGGTTTCTACTCTCCCTTTGTGTAAAACCTTGACGCTTCTTTTTTTAAGATTGTATTGAAAATTGTAACAGGGAGGAAGGTCTGTAACATTTAGGAAGTTAATTACAAATCCCCAGTCGCTCTCTGGGAAAATTCAGATGTACAGAAAATTCTAGAAAACACTGCTCCAGTCGTTCTCTGGGAAAATTCAGATGTACTAGGAAAAAGGACTTTGAGTCTCTTCCTTCCTCATTATACTTTTAGATATAAAATAGGATATTTCTTGATTAGCTGCACTGTATGGCGTGGGTACAAACATATTTAAATATTTCAGCAATGAAAAGGTGGATCCAGAGTTTAATATGTGAGCAGATCGAATACTTTGAAGACTCAGATGACGAAGAGGAAGAAGAGGAATTCCAAGATTGCGTGGAATTTTATGAGGCCTCTGAAGGATCAGGCAGAGCCCCTGAGGCAGAGGGAGGAGATAATAATTCAGATAAAAAGGATGGAACTGCTGATGGAAATTCCGTTGAAATTCCCAGTGGGACTTCCACCGGAGGCTCAACAGGAGCCTCTACTGGGACAGCCAATACTAGCTCTGATAGGTCACATGGGGGAGCTGCAGGAGAGGATGCGGCTAAAGATGCGGCTAAAGATGCGGCTAAAACTGGTGGCGGTGAGAAGATGACACTAGATCCTCGAGCATTCTTCAGCAGATTCTACTTTCTCATCTAGCTAGCACGCTTCAACAGATTCTCTCTGACTCAGCCCCAGCCACTTCTTTCTAAATTGACCAGCACACAACAAAGATTAATATATCTACGATCACCTTGATAATCAGCAACTTAGTTGATTTCGTAACATTTGTACTTTTTCTTCACTTCTGATGATTGCAAAGAACTATTTAATGAAGAGCATTTAATTGGTAAATCCCTTAACTAAACCGTCGGTATGTTTCAATATCAGAAAAACATCTGTTTTTAAAATTCCTATTTACTACAACCATGTGGCATGATCTCATTACTCTTGAGGAATTTGAGGAATGTAAGCGAACATTTACATTTAGCATGCTTCATATTTACACTCAGATGTGAGGAGACTAATATTTAATGTGTGTCCCGCAGTGGCGTAACGTTGCCTGTTGGCCCCCGCCCCCCCCCCGCTACTGGTGTCCCGCAGTGGCGTAACGTGCCTGTTGGCGTCCCCCCCCCCCGCTACTGGTGTCCCGCAGTGGCGTAATGTTGCCTGTTTGGCCCCCCCCCCCTACTAGCGCCCCCCCCGCTACTGGTGTCCCGCAGTGGCGTAATGTTGCCTGTTGGCCCCCCCCCCCCTCTACTAAGCGCCCCCCCCCCGCTACTGGTGTCCCGCAGTGGCGTAACGTGCCTGTTGGCGCCCCCCCCCCCCGCTACTGGTGTCCTGCAGTGGCGTAACGTTGCCTGTTGGCGCCCCCCCCCCCCCGCTACTGGTGTCCTGCAGTGGCGTAACGTTGCCTGTTGCCCCCCCCCCCCCGCTACTGGTGTCCTGCAGTGGTGTAACGTTGCCTGTTGGCGCCCCCCCCCCCCGCTACTGGTGTCCCGCAGTGGCGTAACGTTGCCTGTTGCCCCCCCCCCCCCGCTACTGGTGTCCCGCAGTGGCGTAACGTTGCCTGTTGGCGCCCCCCCGGCCCCGCTACTGGTGTCCCGCAGTGGCGTAACGTTGCCTGTTGGCGCCCCCCCCCGCTACTGGTGCCCCCCCCCCCCCCGCTACTGGTGTCCCGCAGTGGCGTAACGTTGCCTGTTGCCCCCCCCCCGCTACTGGTGTCCCGCAGTGGTGTAACGTTGCCTGTTGGCGCCCTCCCCCGCCCCCCCCCCCCCCGCTACTGGTGTCCCGCAGTGGCGTAACGTTGCCTGTTGCCCCCCCCCCGCTACTGGTGTCCCGCAGTGGCGTAACATTCCTATTGCAACTTAATTTGATTAAGCCGGGTTACCATAGAAAAACTGCAGTAATAACCCACTTCTTCTTTTGTGAATGACTAGCTCAGCTATGCTAGAACAAATTCCAGAAAATACCTGTGTTTAGTCTATGAGTTACATAATTGGCCAGCTGCCCAACAGCTACCTATAATAATAACTATCTGTTACGAGCGCCTCCCCATCTTTACCCCTCTCAGAAACTAGTTGCCAGGGTTATTGCGCGGATAAGGTTTCAGATAATGGTAGTCACCAGTTTCAAAGTTGGTAGAATGTAATAAGGTAGAATTAGAACAATTAACCCGCAAACTATCCGGGGGAGCTTTTGTAACAGAATGATTTTGGTGGTGTCTCTTGACAGTGTACCGCTTCATAAACAGCCCAGATTATATTTCTTGTAATTCAAATATTCAACTCATCTTAGTGATAATATCATGATGGGTATATTATTATTATTATTATTTTGATTTACGACTTTCATCTATGAACGATTAGAGCACACCAAAATCTAAATTCCTAAAACTGTTATCACATTTCATATTCTCACCTGTGGTTAACAATAAAACGTGGATACGGTTATATCATATTCAAACTAAACTTTGAGCAGTTATAATGTGTTGAGTGTTAGTGTAGCCCTATGTGTGAGAGGGTACCACAGAAATAGAGTGATACAATTCCAACTCCAGTAATGATTGCATTCCATAACCATTGTACAGGCGCCGACTAATGCTCTGATATTTCCAACAATATTTTAATTACAGCATTTATATGGAGCCAGATGATGATAATGCGTATATTTTCAGCTATGAGGAACTGGATGAACAGTCTTGGGGCTACTCCTCGTGTTAAATATATCTACCTTTTCAGCTATGAGGAACTGGATGAACAGTCTTGGAGCTACTCCTCGTGTTAAATATATCTACTTTTCAGCTATGAGGAACTGGATGAACAGTCTTGGGGCTACTCCTCGTGTTAAATATATCTACTTTTCAGCTATGAGGAACTGGATGAACAGTCTTGGAGCTACTCCTCGTGTTAAATATATCTACTTTTCAGCTATGAGGAACTGGATGAACAGTCTTGGGGCTACTCCTCGTGTTAAATATATCTACTTTTCAGCTATGAGGAACTGGATGAACAGTCTTGGAGCTACTCCTCGTGTTAAATATATCTACTTTTCAGCTATGAGGAACTGGATGAACAGTCTTGGAGCTACTCCTCGTGTTAAATATATCTACCTTTTCAGCTATGAGGAACTGGATGAACAGTCTTGGAGCTACTCCTCGTGTTAAATATATCTACTTTTCAGCTATGAGGAACTGGATGAACAGTCTTGGGGCTACTCCTCGTGTTAAATATATCTACTTTTCAGCTATGAGGAACTGGATGAACAGTCTTGGGGCTACTCCTCGTGTTAAATATATCTACTTTTCAGCTATGAGGAACTGGATGAACAGTCTTGGAGCTACTCCTCGTGTTAAATATATCTACTTTTCAGCTATGAGGAACTGGATGAACAGTCTTGGGGCTACTCCTCGTGTTAAATATATCTACTTTTCAGCTATGAGGAACTGGATGAACAGTCTTGGAGCTACTCCTCGTGTTAAATATATCTACTTTTCAGCTATGAGGAACTGGATGAACAGTCTTGGGGCTACTCCTCGTGTTAAATATATCTACTTTTCAGCTATGAGGAACTGGATGAACAGTCTTGGGGCTACTCCTCGTGTTAAATATATCTACTTTTCAGCTATGAGGAACTGGATGAACAGTCTTGGAGCTACTCCTCGTGTTAAATATATCTACTTTTCAGCTATGAGGAACTGGATGAACAGTCTTGGGGCTACTCCTCGTGTTAAATATATCTACTTTTCAGCTATGAGGAACTGGATGAACAGTCTTGGGGCTACTCCTCGTGTTAAATATATCTACGAAGATCTGAAGGACGGTCTTGCAATCATCCAGGTTTGCAGCAATCTTCTAATGTTTTTCTGTGTAAGGTAGAAGTGGTCTCTATTATTCTGGTTTATATTTGCCGATAACCTAATTCTTTTGGCTGAAGAAGCTAAATTGGTAGATTGATCGGTGAACCCTAACCAAGTTCTCAAGGATCAACCCTCTCATTTATCTTAGTCCTTACGCTAATTTAACCCCCCCCCCCCCCCCCCCCCACCTTAACCTTTACCACGAGCTGAGCGATTAGCCAAACGTAGACTGAGGACTCCATACCAGGCTTTACAGCCTTTAGCTCTATGTCTAACCCCAGTCCCTAACTGCAACCCTACCGGCCTAACGTATACTCTTGCGTGTTTCCTTACCCAAGCAAGACAGGTAGCATACCCAACGAGCCTAACTGTTACCACATTCCACTCCCTGTTTTCATTGCATGACCTCTAAAAGCATTTGTTCTGCGGAACGACGGAAGTCGATTATCTCAAGATCCTATTGAGTACTGTATGTGATTTTCTTGAAACTTTCCGGATAGCAAGACAGGTACTGCAAGAGTAACATACTGTGACAGTTAGAATATAAATTTTATGTGCCAAATTGAGATATCGATTCAAACACAAGAATAACTTTATGTTAGTGAATTGTATGGATCAATATCTCGAATTTGGCACATAGAAATTTATCAAAATTTGCATGGTATGTCCATCTTACCATCTGGAAAGTTTCAAGAAAATCGTATATTCAAATTTGGATAAAATCCACCGTGTTCCGTAGAATTCACTAATTTGTTTTATACCCAAACAATTGTATTCAGATCTAGAAACAATCTTAAAACGTTTTTTGTTAAGTAACATTAAATGTACTGCTAAAAACCTTGACTTTCGGCCTTGCAATTTGAAACAGTTTTGTCGAAAGTTCATTTTCTATGAGTCCCTTTGTAGATGTTCTCCGTGTATACTGAATACGTAGCGCGCGGTGACATAAAATCTCCAAAAGGACTTCGCGCACTCTTGTTTAGCAGCTACATTAACATAGAGCGCGTCAGTCCGTGCTCGGTCGCACAGAAGCACGTGCGAAGATTGAGTAGATTCATATCTTGTAGATCGATCTCTCGATTCTAACTATTTAGCCGCAGGTGCATAGGCATTGACAAGCAACACAACTGATTTATCTCAAGCTTCACGACTTAAATTTTCAGCTGTTCGACAAGATACAGAACGGATGTGTTAACTGGAAAAAGGTAAACACGCCTCCTTTCAAAGCTCTTGGTGGTGCCATGAAACAGATAGAGAATTGTAACTACGCCATTGACCTTGGACACAACTTGGGCTTCGTTCTTGTCGGTAGGTTCCTCGGTCAGAATTTCGATAACTTGGTGTATCCAGTATCGAATCGTAATATTTATTTCAATCAAAGTGTGCTATTCAATAAATTGCTCTTTACTGGGCCGCGCTCAGCCTGTCATTCCGCCGAATCTCTATTCGGTTGTTTTATGAACATAATAGCCTGAGGTCCCCAGGTAAATTGCTCTATGATATTTTATATTGAATATCGTAATGATTCTAGAATGGTAAGTCAAAAGGAATTGCAAACCAATTTTACTGAGCTACGACTAACACACAACTGAAATTTAAGAAAATGAATATGTCCATTGCGTTCAGGAATTGACGGTAAGAACTTGCACGACGGAGACAAACTGACTCTGGGACTTGTCTGGCAGATGATGAGACATTACACTCTAGCTATGTTGACACACGACGGCAAGATCATGAAAGATAACGAAATCATCAAGTGGTGTAACAAGTAAGTTGATGATCATAAATCTTTTCGGCATATTCACCCGTTATTAGTGAATAATTAGCAGCGAGTAAAAGAATCGAATGTCATACAAATACAATGTTGCAAATTTGATTAAAAACTAATAATAATATTCAAAGCGACTGAAACTGGCTAAACCCATCCTAATTAAAACATATTGGTCACACTTTAAAAGCGAATACTCATAATTTGTAACTAAATTTGATCACAGCAAGCTGGAGAGCGCTGGCAAGACCACAAACTTTAAGTCTTTCAAGGACTCTTCTCTGGGAACCTCTCGTCCTATTGTTGACCTGATAGATGCTATCAGTCCTGGTTACATCAACTACGATCTCGTCACAGCTGCCGAAACAGACGATGTTAGTTCTCATTTGTTTAATTGTTAAGTTTTACTTGGAGAATCGCTGTTTGCAGTATGTACAAACATTACTAATATTTGATGACTAATATTTCGTTTAAGTATGCTAGGTAATGTTAAACCATGTTTTTATTTCCAGGATAAGTTCCTGAATGCTCGATATGCTATCACCATGGCCAGAAAGATCGGCGCAAGAATATTCGCTCTGCCAGAGGACATCACGGAGGTAATTTATGGAAATCAATTAATCTCTAATTAATTTTAATTACTTTAACCTCGACTTCTTATTTTGAAAAGAATCACTGCTTAGTGTTTATCGGGGTCAACAGAATATCTCATTATGGCTACAAATACCACATGTATTCAAACTCAAAATGGCCAAAAAGGATTAAAATTGTGTGGGGGGGGGGGGGGGAATCGGAAAAAACCTACATTTTAATATACTTTAATATACCTACAATTAGTAGATTTATATTCTTCCGTTTTTCGTTAAGATTTACAAGATAAGCCAATTGTTAGTCCCCTGAACTCATACTTCATATATTTTAGCCCATAAATTGGTCAAATATCAATATCTTTGAACAAGACTAACTTTACATGAAAGGTAAATCTAATCTATACATTAGAGGCCTTTAAAGAAATTAAGCGGCCAAATTTTGAATCGAGATAAGATAGGTATATTAAAGTATGTTAAAGTATATTAAAGTATATCCCCGGGTCAAAATTGGAAAAAAACCTACATTTTAATATACTTTAATATGGTTGCCCCCCCCCCCCCCCAATTCGTGATCATTGCTGATTGTCTTGAGCAATTCTAAATCACAATAGCCCCCACCCCCAACCATATATGTTATTGTCTAATATAAATATTATTCCAGGTCAACCCGAAGATGATAATGACAGTATTCGCCTGTCTTATGAGTGTAGGATTTGCTAAGGACAGGAAATAAACTCTACATTATATTAGACGTTTCTTACTCTTCTAGCCTCACCTGGTGTTTTTCCGTTTTTAACAGCTTAATCATTATTTCCACTCATTTGAGATGCGGGCAACTTTTTGGTTAACAATGATAATTTAACGATGAAGAATTTTTGCACATATATTTGAGAGTGGAGCTGCTGTGCCAATAGCAGGTTTCGAGGTCGGTACAAAGAAAAATAATTAACATTTTTGGCAACTGTGTTTTATATATATTACGAAATAATTGCTATTTCTTGATTTCTCCTTTTTTATGTTGTATAACTATGATGTATTAAATACACGATAATGTTACTTGATACAATTCTTGGTTTCAGTCCATCTTTTGGTATGGTAATGTTGGTAATTTGCATGACTCTGGAATCTGTGATATAAAAAGAAATAAAAAACGTCGTTCTCAATATTTTGTTATCAAATCATAATAAATAAAAAATATACTATCCCGAGTGAAAAGTTCATTAATCGTAACCTTAGAATAGAAGACGAAAATTGAAAAATAAGAACTTAATTTATACTAAAGCAAGTCCACTTATTGCTTCTTTGGAGGCACTGGTACAGGTCTGACTTGTTTGTAGCTTTTCAGAGCCTCAGCATACCACTTCAACTCCTTAGCTTGCTTGACCATGTTGGCCTTCACTCTGTCGTCTGTTAAGTTGCCTTCTTCATCAAACATTGAGCCTACCGACATGACGGTACACGACGCTGGTACCGGTACCATTCCCAGTTCTGTCACGTGAGCTTTCAGGTTTATCTGAATCCGGCATCCTCCAAAAGGACCCACACTGTACGTTAACAGAGCTGAGGAAAGTTTTGATTACAGATGCTATTAGTTATTTATAAAATATATAGAAAATGCTAGATTTATTTTAATTTGAACACCTGATTTTGCTTGATCAGGGGTAAATTTGGTACCATTAGAGTGATGACTGATGACTTACCAACAGGTCTGTCCTTGTAAGCAGCAGGCGGGTAGTGGTCGAGCATGTTAGTGAGGGCGGGGGGCAGGGCTGAGTTGTACTCAGCAGAACAAATTATAAAACTGTCAGCTTCCTCCAGCTCTTTCTTCTTGTCGTGCATCCATTGTGGAAAACCGGACTGAAATTGAAATTGATATCTAAGTGTATGTTAAGTGATAGTTCAGTCAGATGCAAAACTCCGGACTTTTCATAAAAAGATTAGATGGTGTAAGTAAATCGACCAATTGATGCTAATTTGCTAAAATAATAAAACTTCTGAAAACTGAATTGTATAGAAAATATTTCTTACTGCATCTGGAACAAGATGCAGAGGCTGTTCTAGGATTGTGTAGGGACTATCTTTGGGGTCCCACAGTGACACTTCAAGACCTTCTTCCTCCAGAATCTCCTTCATTGCTTTTCCTACCCTGTAGGGTATTAAAGTATTAACATGAAATTATTGGTATTGAATTTAACAGCTAAAGGTTTTACCTGCCTTCTGTTTTCTCGGCCATCACTGTTTTTCACTCAAGAACTCTGCGCGCAAACTTTGATATTTCGCAACCGGCTAATCATATTCATAGACCATTTTAAAACCTGTTTTTTCTGGATATATTTACTGGGCGGCGCTCATTCTCAGCCTGTCATTCCGCCGTATCTCTATTCTGTTTATGAACATGATAGCCTGGGGTCCCCAGGTAAGGATATATGAGCATATCACTCGACATAAACAACATAAACAAACTCTTGTGATTTTTCGTTTGACAATTGACTGGTTTAGATGTTAGAACTAAAAACCGAAATAAATAGATCCTTGGCTTTTGGTAGAACCAATGTTTTCTAGTCTTGGTAGTGGTACAACAAAATTTTTGCCCCTCAATCTTTACCTGTCGCCCCATGATCCCTCGCCTGTGAAACTAGCACCTTTCCTACAGGATGAAAGGAACAGGATCGTCTTTAGCTTATCAGCCATCTTTTATCTGTGTATTAGAAAAAGTTTATTAATAAACATTCTAGCAATCATTTTACCTTTTCAACAAAGCTGCAACAAATCTGAACCAATCATAACAACAAATCAATACTGCAGCAGTGCAGCAGCAAAGTTAGATCTTGAAAGGCTGAGCCGTGAGCGTTAGTTGTAGTTCTAGTTTTTAACATTGTATGTTCAGTACACAGTAAGGAGCATCACGGCTCTCGACAGGCAAAATGAAACAAGGCAAAATGAAACAAGGCAAAATGAAACAAGGCAAATGACTTGAAAACTAAATGAAAATGAGTGTCAAAACGTGTACTAAATTAAAATACTAAACACTAACAACAAACACAAAATGTAAAGCAACAGAGTGCTAACTGGGAGGTATTAACCAAATGATTATGCTAATTTTCATAATTATAACTATGAATTAAACAGGAATTAAACTTGAAATGACCAAGGAGAACACTAACGAACTTGTCTTGGTAATACAACAATTCATAAAGATGATCACAACTGTACAAAATCGACAGAAAGCTATAAAAAATGAGATCTTAAAAATTAACCGCGTTACACTTCACACTTACAACTTTACATTTACAATTCACGAAAGAGAAACAAAATCAAATATATAATAATTTAAATGTGTAAAACTGATTTAACGGAGGGGCCGGGGGTTTAAAAATTGTCTAAAAAGTGATTACGTAGTATGTGAACGACCCCATAATAGTTTTGTCATTCGTCTAGTGAGGAGTATTTCACCAGTATTCAACTATTAAAACCCTACACTAGAGTCAGTAAAACAAACGTTAAACTACAGAGAGAGCAATGTGAGTGTGTGTGTAAAGTGTAAACGGATCTATGTTTAACATTCCTGACCAGCATAGCTTTATATTTGAATGTACAACTGCACAGAGGCGGCTCTGCAATTCTACATACATAAAGTCACACACACACACTGCATTGACAGTTGATACACGTTGTAGGTCCCGGCGTGCACGAGATCAGAGAGGCCTACAAGTACAACTTGTAGTAAACACTGCACAGTCACTTACATGATCTCCAATCTCAGTCACACACAGCATTTATTTCGAAGAAAATGTAAATAATTGAATCAGATTAAGTGCGGTTTAAGCTGAATAAACGATAAAGTAGAGTTATGTCATCTCGTTTAACTTTTAAAACTGAAACTAGTTTTTGAATACTGACTTTAAAATCAAATTAAAAGGGTAGGAATAATTACCCGCTGAGTCAAAACCCGCATTAGGTGACCCAATAGTATCTTAAACAATAATCTCATAATCAGTTCTTTCTCGTGGATAATTAAGTCATTATTAGCCATTAGGCACCACATTCCATGGTCATAAGGTCTAAACAGTGAACACCGACTATTACACCTCATCACTCCCGTCTTGAACCGCTTTTCATTTTTATTTAAATCGTTATATTACAAACAGACAGACAGACAGACAGAAAACACAAATTCTGGGATTATTAAGGTGATTATTAGTGTAATTTTGGAAAATTGAAGCTTCGCCACTTTGGTCGTCATAAGCATAATAATATTAATATATTATTATTAGGCGCTCAAATTCCTACATGTTTAATATAAGTTCAATTGTTCATTTGAGAAAACTTTATAAATAGGAATGAATCCAAAGTGAAATGAGCCACATCTGAAAGAATTTTCAGTTTTAAGAATTTTGAGTTTAATGAGATAGCCATAATGTTGCCAAATGTGATCCTTTGTTCCTCTATTTTTGAAGTTTCTGACTGTTTGATTTGACCTTAAAATTCTCCAAACTGAAAACTTAACTTAATCTCCCTGCTAAGTGTTCTCGTTCATCTCGTTGGACTGTTCTCTAGTTTCCTTTGCACCCGTGCGATATTCTTCCCAGACAGTACAGATTTTGGTAATCGTACGAGTGTTCTTTACCAAGGTACGATCAGTTTCTAGCTTTTTTAACAAAAAGTCTTATTATCCTATGATCAAGTTTACAGAAAGAACTCGTTAGCCTTGTCCATGTCTTCAGAAATTAATGCTATGTCGTCTGCAAAGTCATGAAAAGAGAGTCTGGACTTAGATGGCCCACAGAACGATAGCATGAGGATTCTCTGCCTGCCTCTGGGGTACAGCGCCGGAGTTATCTGTTTGGAGATGATGGAGGTGAGTGGCAAGTGAAATGAAGGGGAATGGGATTTAGTACCAAATGGATGATAACCAGAAATAATGAGTTACTAGACAACATGAGAGTAGTGAGTATAGTCCTTTTGTGTCTAGGTCATTCCAGTCTGGTCCAGTTCCTCAGGTACGATTAGGCGTTTAGTGTGAAGTTGAATATAGTGGTGATGTAACTCGTTTGAACTTCTTTGCACTGTGCTCTGTTTCAGTCGCCCTGATCCATATACTGCAGCAGTAGGTTACATCACGTGGGGCTGACATGTGAAGGATGCCGTAGCTTTTGTGGTTATATTGATAATATGTTCGTTGAACTTACGTATGCTGTCCAAGGTCACTTCTAGAAATTAAGCTGATTTGGACAGACTTACAGTAGTGTTGCCCACTATTATATGTCTTAGAGTATACTTTCTATTCCAGGTGAACATGACCAATGACTATCTGAGTTTTAAGGGCGCTGATAGATAGTTCTTTGGTTTTGCACCATTTCTCTATCGTGTTGATACAAGTTTTGGATGTTCTGTTCCAGAAGATATCTGAATCATTCCCTTCCGCTTGAGAGGCCAGATCATCTGCAAAATCTTGCAGGTAATCTGTTATGTCTTTCGCAGTATAGGCAAGAATATCATCGAGTTGTAGGTTCCATAGGAATGGGGAGAGTATGCCTCATTGTCGGGTCCAGCAGCCTTCAAAGTCATACGCGTGTGTATATACGAGTAGTATAAATAATAATAAAACATCATCTTAGTGTTTTAGTTTGATAGTTGGTGACAAAGTGAGAGTTTTATTGTTTTACTATAAATATAACATTATGCTCATAATATATATTAACATTTTTGCACCTTTTATTGGAATAAAAAGCTTTTAGTTGTTGAAGTCATGAAAATCGTAGATAAAATAGTCATATGCTTTTTCGCACCTCTTTACAAATATTTCCTATAAATGCCTAATTGAAAACTATCACTATCAGTCATACTGTCAAACCGCAAAAAATCGTTCGAGATGAAATTATTTTATGCTGCTTGTATCTTTCATCGCATATGGTTGATGATATTGATAATTCAGTTTGGTTCTATGGGTACGGCTAAAACGAACAATGAATATTACCACAATAGTAAGTACAACTACAATAGTTCAATAACTACCCATTTTTTCATATCTGGTACAGTTGAACATTTTTTACTTTATTTTAATCAAAAACAGTACAAAATATAACTTCAAGTTGGAAATAAACTCAAAATTGTGCTAATTTTCAATTTTGTTGGTTTTTATTTCATCGCACAGTCAGAACATGGGAGATATAGGCAAACATACACTATGAAGATTACAGTATAAAAAGTATGCTGGGCTGATAAACGGCTGGAATACCCAAAAATGTTTTTAGAGTCCACCGAACGTTCAAGTGGACGGGATTATACAAAAATCGGCCTTTTTTTAAAAAAAGCGACCTAAAATTCGGGGAAATGCAGCCTCTTTTCGACTAAAAATGTTTTTAAAGACTTTTATAGAAGTTCAAGTCATATATATGTTATTTTGATACCTTAAAAACTTCATATGTATATGTAAAATCGTAGCATATAGGCATAGCTTAGTTTCGTAATGCTATAAATTTTAGATTTTGTTGAATCAAAAAGCTTTTAGCTTTTGAACTCTCAGTCATGAAAATCGAAGAAATGTCCTTTCAATGTAAACAATTGGGGTGTAAAAATGGCAAATGGTAAAATGGGTTTTAGCCGTTGAAATCATGAAAATCGAATACGCGTCCTTTCTCGGTAGATATATGGCAGATGCAGTGGCCTTATAGTCATATATAATCAAACCGTATAAACAATGTTGGTGATGAAAACCTATCGTATTGCTGTTTATATCCTCCATTGCATTCGCTTGGTACGATTGATAACCCAGTTTGGTTCTATGAGTATGGTTTCAACGAACAATGATTACATTCAGAATAGTTAGTCTATAAATAGTTCGATAATTGAATAGTTTTCATATGAATACTAACAGTAATTATACAAATAGCTTATAATTTTACTCAAGTCAACTTGAAGTTGAAAGTAAAAACTCCGGTTATGTGTTTTATGGAGTGAAGATTTTCAATCTACAATTTTGTTATGTGTTAAGTTTAAAATAGTTAAATTACATGTCGATTACATGTGATGAACTACATTTTTGTAACTTCGTAGGACCTTAAATGTGGGATTTCTACCCACTCAGATGACTGATATACATATTATTTGTTTGTTTGGATATCATTTATAGCGAGGGTTTAATACAACGATTGGTTTCTGAGCGATTACAGCAAATCACATTCACATGTAGGTATATGACTCTTTATAAACTCTTAGTCACTTAGTATAACTATAATATTTTAAATATCAAGTAAACAATTCACTAGTTCGAAGTCAAATTCTTCCAGGTAGTCTTACTCCAACTTGCGAGATTCAAAATAATAGAGGCTTTCTCAAGTACGTCTGCGAAGAACTAGCGAACTCAACGTCAGGTCCTCTTGGGCATCATGGTTTCCACAAATGTGTTAACTCATCACTATTCTATAATTCCTTCATCGCCAGAAGAGCCAGGTATTATTAATATATATTTTTTCTTTCTCCTTCTCCGTGTCCTTCTCCCTTTACTGATTAACGATTATAATTTATCAAACAACCAATGGTTTAACAAGAATTGCGCCGGTTAGCGGACGCTAGATTTCCATCGCCCGTAATTAATTACAATTAACAATCGTTTCATATTTGTTAAATTACCAAATTTCTTTGGGGCGTTACAGAGAACAAAATGGAGGGGTTGCCGTTGTCAATTATTTGAA